ATTTTACAAGTTTTGTTTTGCTAGCAGGATTTGACATTGCGGTGTAGAAAGACGTACCTCAAATTGGTTTTTTTTTTTTTTTTTTTTTTTTTTTTCTTCTTTCTTTTTGTCTTTACCTTGTAGGTGGTTCGTATGAGCGGGGGATGGGCAAGGAGGGATTAGCGGTTCCCGCAGTGGATCGGCGAGGGCGACATCCATTCCATCCATTCCATCCATTCGGTTCTCCTTCGCAAACGCGTTTCCTTATCACCTCCCTCCCTCTCCCTCTCCCTCTCCACCTTTGCTCCAGCAACCACAACAAAACTTCCCACCTCCAACCTCAATCTCCCTCAGTTGCAGAAGAAGAAGAAGAGCAGGATCTTTTCTCTCTTTCCCCCTCCCCTAATGTCGGTGTGCGCGCTGTAACAGTCACAGTCTTGTCACTATTGTCATATTAGCTTGTTTTCCTCTCCCTCCCTTATCAGCCTCCTTCGCTCGCTCCCGCCTCCGACCGCACTCCGCTTCGTCATTGCCTTGGCCTCCTGCGACATCAACAACCCTCCCACCATCACCACCACTCCTCCCAAAACCGACCATTCGCCCTTTGTTGACCTTCCATGTCGCTATTTGGCACATCCCCCGAGGATTCGGCGCTGGGTAATTTCGCGCAGAGATCCAAGTCATCCCTTTTCGCAGACGAACCCTCCTTCGGTGGGAACACAGGAAATGCGGGTTCCTCCTCCCTCTTCGCCGACGACGAGGGCCTGAACTCCGGTTCGCTCTGGGGAAACAGTGTCAACAAACGGACGAAACATCAAATTGTAAAGACTCTCCTGCCGCAAGATGAAGTCCCAGAAAGCTATATCGACGCGTACGATCTGGTGCTCAGTGAGGGGGATCGCGTGGGCAGTGGGGTGGGCCTGACTTCCGTCCGCGAGATCCTGTCGAGCAGCGGACTCAGTGCCAGTGATCAGGAGAAAATCCTGAATTTGGTGGTCTCGGGCGATATAGACAGCTCCACTGGCCTAGGACGTGGCGAGTTCAGCGTGCTTCTGGCCCTCGTGGGCCTAGCGCAGGAAGGGGAGGACCTGACATTCGACACGGTTGACGATCGACGCAAGAGTGAGTTGTCGCGCACCCCTCATGCCATCCTTTCGACCCGACTCGTGCAGCTAACAGCAGGTGCGCTGCCACTTGAACAGAGCTCCCGCAGCCCAGGTGTTCTTATTTCGACGCATTGCGCGCTAAGCACGAAACTGCTACATCGGGGCAGTCGTCGCAACAAGACCGTCCCACTACGCCTCCTGCCCCCGCCACCCCGCCGCCAGAGCCAAGCTCAACTCATTCACGACAGTCTGCCCGTGGGTCCATGGGCAGTTTTGAAGCCGATCCATGGGGAAGCCCTCAGCTGCATCGAGGACACGCCCATGCCCAATCCGAATCCGAGCACCCCGTTCTGAATGGTTATGGCAGCGTACGATCCGGGACAAATGCATGGGCGAGCAGAGCCAGTGATACCAGCGGCCCGCAGGATGCGCCAGAGAATCCCCATCCCAATGGAGGGGCGGGCTTGGGTCCTTCTGCTAACCCTGGCTTTGGATGGGGAGACAACGTGGGAAATACCTCGGATGGACATGGATTGGGAGGGCCGGTCCGAGCTGGACTTGGAGGCTTTGGCCCACCCGGGAGCGACCAAGGCGATCCCAATCCCCGTCGCCGGTCCTTAGGCATCGGTAGAGTTACAAATACCCGTATGGAGGAGGTGATCACGATCACCCTGCTTCCGGAAAAGGAAGGCATGTTCATGTTTCAGCATCGCAATTATGAAGTCAAGTCTGCCCGCAGAGGGAGCACCGTGGTTCGACGGTACAGTGACTTCGTGTGGCTCCTAGACTGCCTCCACAAACGCTATCCGTTCCGCCAATTGCCACTGCTGCCCCCGAAGAGGATTTCAGGTACGTTCAAATTGAGGCTTGCTACAAGCTGTCCTCCAAGCTTACACACCGTTCCCAAGTCAATGGCACTCACCTTTCAGCGGACTCCAATTCCTTCCTGGAAAAACGTCGTAGGGGACTTGTACGATTTACGAATGCGCTCGTTCGGCACCCGGTCTTGAGCCAAGAGCAATTGGTGGTAATGTTTTTGACGGTTCCGACAGTAGGTCTTGTAGATTCGTTGTGGTCAAAGCGGTGGATGATCTGACAATGGGACAGGAACTTTCAGTGTGGCGGAAACAGGCGACCATTTCAGTGCAGGATGAATTTGCGGGCCGAGCCCTACCCCCCGATCTTGAAGACTCGCTCCCCTCCAACTTAATCGACCTCTTCGATACGGTCCGCAGTGGGGTCAAACGGTCGGCGGAGGTGTACATCAACCTGTGCACGCTGTTGGAGCGGTTAGCGAAGCGCAACGAGGGGCTTGCTGCCGATCACCTGCGGTTCTCTCTGGCGCTGCAGTCGCTGACCGAGGTGACACGCGACACCTACGCAGTGGATACGAACGATGTGCCGTTGCTCAACGAGGGAATCAAGGCCACAGCACGGCATCTGTCGGCGAGCCAGAGTCTGCTGGAGGATGAGGCTCGGGCCTGGGAGGATGGGATGTTGGAGGACCTCAAGCGCCAACGCGACTGTCTAGTCAGTGTGCGAGAGATGTTTGATCGGCGGGACCGATATGCTCGTAACAACATCCCCCAATTGGAGCGTCGCATTGAGAACAACGAGCGCAAGCTGCAGGAGCTGCGGGCCCGGCCTCAGAACACGGTCAAACCGGGCGAAATCGAAAAGGTGGAAGAAGCTATCTTCAAGGTATGTGGAAATGTTCATTTCTGGGTTAGTGGTCCAGACTGGGGTGGCTAACCCGGTTGCCTCGTCGGGGATTGCAGGACAAGGAATCGATTGTGCAACAACACGCACGTGGGGTGTTTATCAAAGAGTGCATTCGGGACGAACTCGTGTTTTTCCAGCAAAGTCAGTATCACATCAGCCGGCTGCATCAAGACTGGAGTCAGGAGCGGGTCAAGTACTCGGAGCTGCAGGCGGACAACTGGCGGTCACTCAGCGATCAAGTGGAGGGCATGCCTTTAGGGGACTGATGCACTGATGCACGTGTCCATTACTGGCACTGAACATTGCTTTTTTTTTTTTTTTTTTTTCTTCTTCTTCTCTGTTTTCTTGGTCTTAAATTCTTGCGCTGTGCCTCCTGTCTACTGTATTCCAGATGATTTTTTCTTTACTCGCGCTATCCTGCCGAAGTGATCTTTGATCGTGGTTTTCCTGCAGCGACTCTAGCCCCCCCGTACGCATCCCTGTTTAGCAGACGGACCTACCGCCTGCAGAGTGTTAATTTTAGGTTTTTTTCTTCTGGACAGTTTGAACGGTTGCCGTTTGGGACACCTTGCTCTGAGATCACGGGTTGGACACATGGTTGGGTTGCTTGCTTGGTTGGGAGTGACCTGCAGGAGACATTGCATGCTGGGCCCGGCCAAATCAGGCGTACCGTGCTGTTAGTGTGAGGTATCTGCTTGACCACAGCTGTTCAATAAGTGCCGACCAGTTGAGCGTCTTCTCTGCCGTGACGTGGAGGTAATCAAGATACATGTAATGCTTGTTCTCTTTTTCTTTTTGTGATCAACCGGGTAAATATATATACTATTGAACCGGCGCGGGTAGCCTTGGTGACTTCAGGAATCAAAGCATTGGCAGGGCCGGGAGTATGAGTAGCAGTGTTTGCGGTCTGTCATGCTGCGCTCTTGGAGCAAGCAAGCAACCACTTGGCAAGCCTGTCAGTGATTCCAAGCGTATGAATGGGAAGTACAGGAAGTATTCCGAGTCTCCGGTCGGTCTTTCTAGTCGGTCTCGTGATGGCGGGATGGGAGGAAGGCGGTTAGTCAGGGTCGGGAAGTCGGCAAGTCGGGATAAACGAATCGCCGACTTGGGTCGAGTTGAAGTGGAGACGGCCAACAGTGCGCTAATCCCAAGAGGGACAAGTTCAGCTCCGCTTTTTGCCCCTGACCGCCAATAAAGACCGGCAGAAAGCGAGCCGGGAGCATTTGCAGCCTTGCAAGGCTGGGCAACGATGGGCTTTTCTGGCTGTTGCGGTTAACTTAGTCTCGTTCTGTGTTTAGCCTCGGGGCTAGTCTCTTCCTGCACGGCAGGTTTGGAGGGTTGTGTCGTCATGGCCATGATTGGCACCATGTGGTTTGGTGAGAGAGTGAGAGAGTGAGAGTGTAAGAGTCCATTCAATCTCAGCTGTCATCCCCCAATTGTCCTTTGCCCCCCTCCTCCAATGCATCCAAATGCATACTGTACATGCCACCTCTCACACGGGGAAGCACAAAAGGACAGTCCGTCGCAAAAGTCGGATCTGATCTGTACTTCTGTGGAGAAGTTTAAACATGTACCGTAACTATACGGTACCCTAAAGTTGTGGTGGATCAGAATTGTTGGCGGGACACGACTGGAAATGTGATGGGTAATCGGATGCGAGCCCTATTGGTGTGGACTCGAGGTAAGCTACGGGGTACTGCACGTACTACTATTACAGTAGGTACTGGACTTTGCCAGAGTACGGAGTACGGAGGACCTTCTAGTAGTCTCTTTCCTGGTCGGACTTACAGGGGAGAGAGTATAGTCAAGACTAGGTAGCCTATACCCTCTTGTACATACAGGAGAGTGTCTTGGAGCGACATCATGACGAGATGGATGTAATGTATATCAACCCAGCTGCCTCCCGCCTTCATCGGCTTATGGGAATTCATAACTCCACAACCACTACTAGGTACCGAGTCAGTGCAATCATAACTGGAATCATCATCAGAATAGTGGAGTCCCGCCAATTGCCAAGCCTCCTCACCTTCGTCCGTTCCGCGACGAGGGAGTGATTCAGCGCTCCAAGCTGTGAAGGAAGTCAGATTGCACGGATTTCCCCGCCGACCGTCGGCCTTCTTTCCCTGGCTCGTCGTCATCAGTCTTGGGTCAGTCTTGGAAAGGCAGCAAATCTCCGAATCATATTCCCACGCCCAGCTCGTGCCCAGAACTTGGCTTGCTTCTCTTGCTTGCTTCAATTCCTCCAATTCCTCCAATTCCTCCAGTTCCTCCCTCCTCTCTGGTTGTTCCTCTCGGCTTGGATCGGGTGCCGCTGACTTCGTTTCTGGTACCTGTTTCGCCCTCCAAAACTTACTCTCCCTCCACTTCCTCGTTCTTTTTTTTTTCTTGTCTTTGTTTCTCCTCTTCTCTTGCTTGTTTCTCAGACCTGTGTCTTAGCCCTCTCCCTCTCCTCCATCTTCTGATTCCATTCCGTGCTTTCCGTACTCCTGGGAAAAGCTTCGAATTGTCTGGTGGAATCGTGGACTATCCAGTTTCCAGACTCGGTAAGTTCAGTCATCCTTCCTCTGCTTCTCCCAATCCGGCAGTCTTTCCTTTGGCCGCTCGCCGCCCGCGCCTCTTCCCCATTCCTCGCCCTGCGCGATCTTCCCTCCTCTTCTCCCACTTGAGAAAAACACTCGGACCAATGCTTTTTCTTTCATTCCCAATTTCTTGTTTATTTCTTTCCTTTTCCCTCGTTTCCGGAAACTAATCGCACGTTCTGCTCGCCCTCAATAGGAATCCTCTCCTCTCCTCTCCCCTCCCATCCCACTCCCATACTCTCGATCCCCCTTGCAGGTGACGACGCCCACGAGGCCCTCGACAGGAAAACTCCGTCTTGGGATTTTCTCCGCTTTCGCCTGTCATCGTTTCGGGCCGCATATCAGTTGATTTTCCCAAAGGCATGCGGAAATTCGGCGTGCGTCCACCTTAAGCGGCGGGTTTCCCCTTGTTAGAGCGCATCCAGGTCCCGATCGGCGGAAGCTCCTCCGAGATCCTCAATCATAACCTGGTTTCGTGGCGCATCGACCTCCAACGCACGAGCGCCCCGGGGAGGAAAAGGAAATCTGGTACAACAAGCAATTTAGTCGCTTTATCTGACCAACAAACAACAACTTCTACTGGGATAGCGCTTTTCGATCTCGTGCGCTTCCCCCCCCGCCGTCGCAGTCATGGCGTGGGATCATCTAGATATCGATAAGCCCCATCTGGCGTACATGATCTTGGGTGGGTTCACCAGTCTGTTCATGTTATGTTCGCTCTTCGTCAAGGAGAAGCTGTACATCGGTGAAGCCACCGTTGCCACGCTGTGTGGTATCATCTTCGGGCCTCATGCGGCCAACCTCTTCAACCCCATGTCCTGGGGCAATGTCGACAAGATCACGCTGGAATGCTCGCGCATTGTCCTGGTCGTCCAGTGCTTTGCCGTCGGAGTCGAATTGCCCAAGGCCTACATGGAACGGCACTGGAAGTCGGTGTTTTTGCTGCTGGTGCCCGTCATGACCTGGGGCTGGCTGATCACGAGTCTGTTCATCTGGTGGATGGTGCCGCCCCTCTCGTGGCTCGAGAGTCTGATCTGCGCGTCCTGTGTCACCGCCACGGACCCCGTTCTCGCCTCCTCCGTCGTCGGTAAAGGTAAATTCGCCCGCCGAGTCCCCAAGCACTTGCGAGACCTGTTGTCCGCCGAGTCCGGCTGCAACGACGGCATGGCCTTCCCGTTCATTTATCTGGGCTACTACATCTGGCGCTACCGCCCCCATGCGGGCGAGGTGTCGCTGCATTGGTTCTGTGTCACCATTCTGTACGAGTGTATTTTTGGCGCGGTCTACGGGTTCATCATTGGGTATCTGGCCCGGCACGCGATTAAGCTCGCCGAACGGAAGGGGCTGATCGATCGCGAAAGTTTCCTGGTCTTCTACTTCGTGCTGGCCGTCTTCTGCGCCGGCTCGGGCAGTCTACTGGGCATGGACGACCTCCTGATCGGCTTTGCCGCCGGCGTGGGCTTCAGTAATGACGGATGGTTTACGGAGAAGACTGAGGAGTCCCACGTGTCCAACGTCATCGACTTGCTACTCAACTTGGCGTACTTTGTGTATTTTGGTTCCATCATTCCTTGGGAGGACTACAACAACCCATCGATTGGTCTGCAGCCCTGGCGACTGGTTGTGATAGCGATTTTGGTCATCTTCTTTCGTCGCATTCCGATCATGCTGATATTGAAACCGATTATACCCGATGTGAAAACGTGGCGCGAGGCATTGTTCGCTGGCCACTTCGGGCCGATTGGCGTCGGTGCGATCTTTGCGTCGATCTTAGCACGGGCCGAACTGGAGGGACAGGGCACCAGTCCGTTAGGAGAATCAGAGCTCCCGGCGGCTGGCTCTTCAAACTACTATATTATTCAGCTCATCTGGCCAATTACGACCTTCATGGTCATTTCCTCAATTCTGGTTCACGGCTCGTCCATCGCCGTCTTCACGCTCGGCAAGCGGATCAACACTCTGACCATCACATTGTCCTACACCACCGCCAACGAGGAGGGTCCCTCCTGGATGAACCGTCTGCCGCGGGTGCAATCACTCGCCAAGGGTTCCATGTCCTTCCGCAAACCGGATGAGGATGAATCCTCTAACGAACCCGATTATCCTCCGGGTACGCTGCCTCCGATCGGAGTTCCGGGTAACTTCTTGCGTCGTCAGAAGGAAGACGAAACAGATCCGGCACGTGCCCGATCGACGAGTAGGACCCGTAGGAGACGCCGCAGACGCAACGACGGAGCGGGTGGTCCCATTAGCCAGTCGGCCATTGCGCCCCAGCGAACAGCAGATACCGAGAAGTCCGAGAAGCAAGAAGAAGAACGCGAAGAGGAGGAAGAACGCGACAGAATCGAACGGGAATCCTCTCCTCCTAACCGGGAGCGCGATCGCTTCGGCCAAGAGCCGATCATGGAAGTTTACCTGGAGGGTCATAACATGATCATGGAGGATGAAGAGGGTAACGTTCTCAAGGTCGAGGACGTCAGTCACATGTCCGAAGAAGAGCAGAAACAGCACATCGAGGAACAGCGGCAGAGGTTACAACAGAACCCGGCCAACTTTGCTCCCTCTCGCTCACATCCCCACGAGAAGACCGAAGGCGAGGAGATCGAGAAGACCCTGGAAGAAAAGGCCGAACGTTCTGTCGAAAAGACTCGGAAGATGATTGGTAACTGGATGAAATTCGGCAAGGGCGGCGATCGTGTCCAGGTGCCTGTTCACACCGACGAGGAGAAGGCTGCTGCCAAGCGTAGGGCCGAGAAGGACGCTCACAAGCGCAAGGGCAAGGGCCGCTCCGCTCACGCGTACCAGTTTGGTAACACGATTATTGTCGAGGATGAGGATGGCGAGGTCATCAAGAAGTATTCGATCCCCTCGAAAGAAAAGCCTAAGCCTGAGGGTAATGCTCCGGTTCGACGAGGACTGACCCGGATGGGAACCTGGTTCGGTATGGAGGAAGAGGGTGAAACTTCGCAAGCGGCCCGGAAGGCAGCACAGGACGAATGGCTGGCAGATGACGGTCTGCGTTTCACCCTGGCTGACGATGGCGACGTCGGAAAGCGCGGCATCGAACACAAGGGTCGTCGCATGACCAAGCATGAATTCGCCCAACAGATCCGCAACCTAGGCCCCAAGGCTCGTCGCGATGTGGTGGAGGAAACCGATGCTCCGGAGCGGGTGAAGAACGTTGCGCGCCAGGAGGCCGAGAAGGCCGAAGAGCAAGAGCACGAGCAAGAGCGCCGCAAGTCAGATCCCGGCGTGGCACCCTCCGTCCCCGTTTTCGACGATGATTCCGAATCCGAGACTGATCTCAGCGACGATGAATCGGGCCATGGAGTTCCCGGCGACAACATCGCCGCCTCTTTGGCCCGGTTCAGTCGTGGTACCGCCGCCGATGAGCGACGCTCCCGCCATGTGAGCCCGACGTCATCGTCTCCAAAGACGCAAGCTCGATCGCGCAGAGATTCCGAGGATGACGGCACCGAGCGTGTGCCGCCTTCTCAATTACGGGAAGCGGCTGGTCTCGCCCGTCCGCCTCAGCAGGCCGATGACGACACGGGCGAAACGCCCGCTGAGCGACGTCGTCGTTTGGCTGCGCTGGGTGAGATCAACAACTCGGACGATTCGGATGACTCCGATACTCCGGTGGATGAAGTGGATGAATCCGACAGTGAGAACAACGGCGCAAACCAGAGCCGGGTGCAATTCGCCGACGGCACCAAGGACAGTCGCCAGCAGTCATTTAACGGCGGTAGCTCGGGTGAAGCCCAGGATACGGGGTCGACCTACTCGCGCCACAGCCGCAGTGCTAGCCGTCGCAGCATCTCTTGGGGAGGCGAAAAGGGACGAGAAACATGATAAACGATCAAGAAAAAGAGGGGAAAACGAGAGAGGGGTTGTTCACTGGTCATAGAGGGAGGGGAGATTAGAAAAAGGGGGGAGAAGAAGGCGGTGAACGGACCCCGAGGGGTCCACGATCCACGTTGCTGCTTGTACTGCCTTGGAGACGATGGCCTAGCTTGATTCCTTGCATTGAGCGAGCATTGGATTGCATGCATTTGCGTGGTGATGTTTCTTTCCTGCCTCTTTCCTTTCTTGTGTATAGAGCAAGATTCACTTTTTCTTTTTTTTTTTTTTTTTTTTGTGTAACTTACTTCCTACCCGGTTGATCCGGTCTTACTCAGGACGAGGGGAATTCCGACCTGTGACTAGAGGGTTGATTTCCGATGTGATGAGTATGGAGTACATAGATAATTGCATAATGGTATTGTTTGGCTACTGGATTATGTGTCTGATAGGAATGACTGTAGGATTTCCGTAGATTTGCGCCAGCTATACTTTTATGGCAGATGGCAGGTCACAGTTCTTTTGCTCATGTTAGTCCATGAATCCATCCAATTGCCGGGTAATATGTGTAGAAATGCCCCTGCTTATCATACGTCTCAAAAGAAACCCACGACTATGATCTACCTACACAACTTCATAGCTCTCAAACTATTCCAGTTACCGCATCCTCCTAAGCCCGGTACGCCACAAGTGAGCGTCCGTGTTGTCTGCCACCACCAGGAGCAGTCTGAGAAGGGTGGGGGGGGGGGGGGGGAAGAAGCGATTGGGGGCATTGAGCACCGTCGCTCACTTGCGTGATGTATCCGCTGGCCAGCAGTGCTGAGAGCCTCAACCCGGGTGCTGAAGGAAATGGGTCTGTGGTGATTGCGGTGGTAGGATTCTAGTCTCAATGCTTATTCACCCTGTCATGAAAATACTGGTCAACCGTCGACTTTGATTCCTTCAGGTTCATCCTTTGTAGTGATTTGCACTTTGTTGCCTGGGATCGGGATATCAGGATTGATCGAACATTAGCACGGAATCACTGGCTGATTTTGAACCAGGCCTAGATTTCCTGGTACCCGAATTCCGAATCATGCGCTGGGGATAATGCGGAGAACATGCTTGGACACCGTTCTTCCATGATCGTCCGCTGCTCGGTCGCGAGCAGATGGCTGCAGAAGAATGGAGAGCAGGTATGGACGAAGACTTTGATTCTGGGGCAGCTGAAAATACTTGATCTGAGTGCTGCATGGCTCCCAGTTACTGTTTCGCTCCCCTTTTGCTTCGAGTGGCTCTGCACCTAGAGAATTCGGGAGCCGACTCACATACGAAAGCAAGTTACGGAGAGAAACACTTGCCAAAGCCATCATTTGAGTTCAGTCAGAATACGTCTCAAGCAGAAAACCAATAGAAGTCGATAGAACAACAGCTAGAAAGACCCATAACCTTGGACTTAGAGAAGCACGGAAGAGAAGTGGAGAAAAAGGCCCATGATAAGGACCTTCAGCAACCTCTTCTTCACAACAACCACCTCCGAAGCCTGCCTGCACCCTACCAAAGAGAATTCCTAGTTTCAGTCCAAACCCACAGCCCACCTCTTTCGTTTCAGATAATAACCTAGTCCGATCACCACTCGGATGAGTGCCCCTTGTAACGTCATGCTCGTTTTGCATGCTGCCCGAAGGAACATTCAATCTTGACCCACCAGGCGAATTTCCGTTCCCAAGGCCGATCTAATGTCTTCGAACAAGTCGACAATGTGAGTGAAGTACCCTCTGTGGCCCATCTCGTCGCCCCCAAAAGCCATGCCCCATACTCTGCCCTGATCATCACATACAAGGGCTCCAGAGTCCCCGGGGCCGATCACAGGGCTGCCAGTATGGCTGCTTTCACTGATGAAATGATGTTCATGAGTCACGACGATGTCACCAGCCTCATCTTGCGCTATGTTGGCAAGCTTAAGATTGTTGCACTGACCCTCCGTCCATCCTGTGGCATGGTCGAGTTCAAAAATCCGGAGTTCGTGGGGAGGAGAAGCCGCGGTGGTAAGCGTGGTGAAACGGTGTGACGGAGTTTTCAAGTCCAATGACTACAGAGAATTGTTAGCACAAGAAAGTTTAGAGATTGGGATCATGGATTCGGAGACAACCCACGGTGTTCTGGCCTGTAGCCCGGCCCACAAGGCGGATAAGAGCCCAATCCATAATTGAAGGACGCGTTGACGTCGGATCCTTCATCTTGATGGTAGTGAGATGCTTGTTGCGAAGGCCCGAGCCCGCAAACACCTGCCCCAAGCGAAACTTTCCCTTCTTTTTGTCCGTCTCCAACCTGTCTATCTCCGATTGAATATCTACCATTTCTTGTTTCACCCGTCTCCACGTACGCTCGTCCGGCGACCCGTGGCCTACTCTATTTACCTGATCCATCTCGGAAAGATTGCGGATTGATGCAGTAGGAAAGGACATTCTGGAAGATGACATTATAAAAACCTGAGTAGCACCGCTTAGCAAGGCTAACTAGCCTCGCTGGAAAACGTTTGTATACTCTACCAAAGCGTATGCTGTCTCGAGGAGTATCTGTGTCAATATTGTTACCAACAGTCTTTTCGTCTCCGAGTTCACGAATCGACAATGAGAAGTCCTCTGTCAGGAATCTGCGACTTGTTCACCGTCTGCAGTTGTCACTGCTCCCTTTCCTAGTATCTCTCGCCTTGTTGTGCGACATAGGGTGTATTTGATGCAGAAAGTGATCTTGAGCTTTCTTGCTGAGGTTCACTTTGAGACGCAGGGCCCGGCGATGTGTTAGACGGTGCTTGTTCAGGTCTTTGTTCATTGTCACCATTGACGTTTTCCTAAGCTTTGCGCTTTTAATTCGGAAAGGCCGTCTTGAACGTCCCCACGAACCGGAGGCTTATAGAGAACAAGGCCCAGATGCATCGCGTCCATATCCGTGGCTGCAAAGTTCGAAGGCGGATTGCGACCTCTGGCATTCAGAAGGAGCAACAGTGCCTTGGGACTCAACAAATCCTCCTGTTTGATATGTAGCCACACGTAGCAGCCCCGGTACCTTGTACCCCTGTCCCGATTAGCATTTGCTTGTTCGATCGACGAAAGAGTCACGTCCAGCTTTTCAATAGGTACAGGGTACCTGCTTTCCATGACAGGAGTATTGTTGATAGTCTAAATAGCATTGCAATTAGGTATCCATAGCTATTGCTCAGTCCGTTAGATTTGCCATGTCCATAACCATGGCTATAGCATCTCCATGCTTTGTAGAAACAGTTCTTTCTCACTACCGGTGCCAAGAATCCATGCTTGGAAACCACTTCCCTGATGTCGCTGAGCACAACAGAAAAAGGGGGACTGTTGCAGAGACATGGTGCAGATGAAAATAGTATAGCACTAGCCTCGATCTATAACTAGAAGAGTTGGATCAGCCAAGATTGCAGAAGTGCTATCGAGAATAGAATGTATCCACCACTACAACAAGCCTTTTCGCTAGCTGCAGGGAGTTCATGCGCTTTCAGATTCAATAATGAGGGAGCCTTTGCATCTCAAGCTACATCGAATAAAACTCTCAAGTGCTTTTTTGTGGCGGTTGGCGACCCGGAGCGAGTAGATTTGAATAGAGTAGTCAATCGCCTCCCCCGCCTCGTCCCCGCCACCTGCAATCGCCGCCACAATCTCCCCTCCGAGTCGGGCCACCTCCCTTTTAATTAAAAGTAGCAGCCGGATATTGTCCAGTAACAGGCTGACCCTGCGCCCAACACGCTATAGTGTATCTAGGGCGCGCAGGCCGTGGTTGATGAGGCCGATCGAAGTCGGCGCCATCCTGTCCTGTCTGCCTTGTCAGTAACCCCGTGAAACAGCATGTTTCCGTCCCGGTACATCCTGGGGTTGCTTACTGTGCATGTTGAGGTCGAAGTCGATGAGTATCTTGCAAAGATGTGACTCTGCAAGAGTGAAGGTCGCATAATAATATTTGTCAACCTTGGTGATAGGAGGAAATCATGTATACCGCATTAGTGCCAGTTCTCCGCATACGATAGCACAGGTCCTGATTCCGCCATCGCGCGCGTCTGCTTGCTTTTGTCTGAGGTATCTATAGTCTCTCTCGTGATGCTGCGTGATGAAAACTGCCTGAACGGTCGCAATTTTGGAGGACAGTTCGGCCAGAAATGTGGGGTCATTCATTATATTGCACCGTTCCGACATTGAATCACGCATTGACCGGTTGAACCACCACCCGTGGGCCTGACTGTTACCTCCCGCATAGGTTTTTGTTCATCGAATAATTTGTCGCTGTGTGATCTTCGTAGCCGAGAATGACAGCCGGCTTTCCAAGCATTTCGCTCCCAGACCACTCGACCACGAAGGGGTCGCTGAAGATGTTGTCAATAATTCGCCCCAAAACCCTGGCTTCTGTTGCTATGATGTGCTGAAAACCTCGTCCGCGAATTCCAGGTCTAGGAACTGGTTGAGATACTCTTCCATCACCTGGCGAGACAGCGTATTCGTCAACCATCCCGCAACAAGCACTGACCATCTCTCCCATGTATTGAGAAAGACAAAACAAAAACAAAACCAACAAAAACACAAACAGGCGATGATAAACATCCTCCCCTCTTCCCCCTGTGTCCCAGACCAATCGCCCCTCTCTACGAGCTTATGTGACTCCTTCTGGGCCGGCGGATTTCCCTATTTAGGGACCATTTTGCTCAAGATTCCACCCAGGAAGCTTTGGGACTCTTGCGGGGGCTTGGATGGCTGCTGCGGGGGCTGCTGCTGGGTATATTGCCGCAGCAGCCATTGCTGCAGCTTGAGTCTCTGCTCCTGGGTGAGAGGAGGGAGAGGAGCGACCGGAGCTGTTGGAGGACCGCGGCCAGGCTCAAGGCGTGGGATATCTGATACGGGCCACAGGAGGAGGTTGAGGACTCTGACGTCGAGGCTGCGCTGTTAATTAAGGGATCTTGGGCCGGCATTGATGGGAGGCCTTGAACGTGTCACCACAACTACAAACTTTGTTTGTGAGCAGCTTTCACCTTCCTGGTTGCCAATTTGGCTACTGCGGAGACTGATGAAACTGTGTTATGATGTTACCAGTCGCACCTTCGCTATGCTGGCAAGCATAAGATTGTTGTACTTCCTCTCCGTTCACCCTGTACTATAATGAAGTTTATATAGCCGGTGTTCGCACGGTGGAGAGGCAACGGTGGTAAGCTCAGTGAAACAGGACAACTAAGCTTGTAAGTCTAATAACTACAGAGAAGTATTAGCACACAAGAGTTTAGAGATCTGGATCACGGATTTGGAGATAGCCCACTGTGTTATGACTTGTAGCCCGGTCCACAAGGCGGAAAAGGGCCCAATCCAAGATTGTGAGGGTGCATTGACCCCGGAGCTTTAAGCATGATGGCAGTAAGACGCTTGTTCCGGAGCCCCGAGCCGGCCAACACCTGCTGCACCGTGAGCTTGGTTGTTAATGAATCTCAGTCAGCTCTGTGCATCGGTTTACTTCTCAACAAGATTAGCCTCGAATCAAAAGCACCTAGATTAAGCTTACTGCTCTAAAGTTTCGTTCTGAGTGGGATAAACCTGCAGCTCAGGCTCCTTCATATGCTGCGTAGCATTGGGAACGATGGCTGCGCGGCGCCATGACCGTGGACTGGGTGTAGGAGGGGCCTGTCGTTACAGGTGCAGAAGACGCTCAATTTCGACTTGCATCGAGCATCGCAAACTGCTTTGCCTCCTCAGCCCGTGTCTTGACAGACACAAAAGCAAACCCCATCGGAGACAAAGCAACATGGATGTGTCGAGAGCTGTAGCTTAACCCCAGACCCAAGAGCCTACCCTTAATCGGCGCTGGTATTCCTTGTTGATTCGTTTTGTGAATATAGTGTATAACCTCTTCGATATGTTATTGCATGACAATCCAGGTTGCGATGCTTGACCTGCCCTAGACTCCCGCGCAGCAATCAAGCTGCTTTCATTCCTCTCCAGGTAATTCGGGGAAGCAGCAGATACAATTCGGGCTCGATTGTCATCTCGCACGACAGGAATAAAACCCCTGTGTGATTCTAGGCTGGATGTGCCTGCCTCAGGAGTATTATGAAATTGCCTTCCACGATGCATAGAAGCCGGCGCGGCTGTTTAACCATCGCCTGGCGCATGGTCCTCAACTGATTTTCCCGGAGGCCCGAGCCTGCAAACACCTGTCCCGAGCGAAACTTTCTGTTTTCTCGGTCAGTCTCAACCCCTTCATTTCTCGTTTCACTTGAGCAAAAAAGACATCACTAATGGCTTCGCAGCGGGTTTGCCGCCTCTGGGGAAGTGATTGTCGGGCGCAGTTGGTAAGGATCAGGCTGGCATTGGGCGAGCATTGGCCACATCTCTGGCTCCGAAGCCTTGGCCGCTTTGTCCACCATGATCACAAAAACGTCGAGGCTGTGCGTCAGTGCCGTTCTGCCTGCGGCAAAAAGCGTGGTTACAACCACGTTGGCCCGACTCAGGGTATCCTCTCGCAGTGATTTGGTTGCAGCTCGGAATTCGTCATGGTCCCCGCGTCACTGCGAAGAGCCTCGTCGAATTGCTGAGCAACGTGCTTGCGCTTGCTGCTCTCTCGGGGCTGAAAAACGGACTCGTCCATTATGCAATCCATAGTTACCAATTATTTTGAATTTGCAAAAGGTGATGTCCGAGTACTTATTGCTAAGAACTGTACAACGTGCGCACGACTTGTGTCTCTTCTAGGTGAAGCCACAGCCTCCAAAGTCTGGCCATGTAATTCGCCTTGATCTCGGATGCTGACTTTGTCGGAGAGCCTGAGGAGGGGAGACTTGTTGCAGGGAACTCAGTGTCTGCAATACGACGCACATTAGTAATGTGATCCTTCTTCGTGCTCTGCAGTGAGATCCGCTTGCCGACTATTAAAACAAGGAGGAAGATCGACTTACCTCGGAAGGTGCCGGATGCGAAAAGCTACGAAGGTTGACTTCGCCTGAGAACCCATTTCCCGTTCTTCGAAAAGGGATATGGATTCACAAAGTAACATGTCAATCTTCGTTCATGTCGTCCGTCCTTCCGTCCCTTCCATCATCCATGTCGGGCTTCTGCCTCTGTTGGCAAGAGGCCGTCATCCGGGCTTGCACATTGTAAAAGCCATTCAAGTACACTTGAGGTAGACTGCCTCTTTCTTCACCGAGCCTTGGATCTTCCCGGATCTGCCAGCCTTCTGGAGTATGTTGGGCTAGGCACACATAGATGTCATCGCAGAAACGGAGGCTGAGGTACCCACAGCATCAATAACGATCACAGTATCTGCTTTCACTATGTCCACAGAAACATGGGCTAGTTTCATCTCTTCTTGTGTAGCCGCATATTCAACCGGCACGTGAGGTTTGGACCGGATCAATGGTTTGAATCGACAGGCAGGGGTTATGACCCCAGTATAGATATCATCTTTGAAT